GCAGACAGTTCATCTGTTAAGACACGCTGCCAAGATTGCTTTGGAAAAATGAAATGTAAGGTGAATTGGAGGAGTCAACCTATTGATACTGTAAGACATTGGAAGCTGCAGATCCACAAGGAAAGACCAGGACTTGGGACAGGGGTTGGGGGAAAGGCAAGGGGTCAGAGAGGACCCGCTTTAACGTCACATGTGTCATTTTGCCCTAGAAAGATAAAAAGGTAATGTTTTCCTAATATCCAGAGAGTGGAATCACATTTCCCTGGAGCTGAATGAGGCTTAGGGGGAAAAGTACTAATTACTATATGTTAATTAAGGTGAATGTTGGAACTGACATTAAGGATAAATTTTGGGTGAGAACTCAGTATTTATGAAAAATGATAAAATAATTTTGCTGGAGATTGAACCTCACCTGAATGCTGTGAAGAATATCTTGATTAATAATAAAGAATACAAAAATAAAAGGCAAATGTAGGTCTATCAGCAAGATAAGGATTAAGTTAAAGTCCAAAAAAACTGGCAGAACACAACCACTAATCCTTTTAGACATTTGGAAATGTGAAGATAGTGGAAGCTGGATAAGTTGGGTCTTGTGTTCCTGGATATCCGTTACTTACTAGTCATCTAGCTAATTAATATCTTAGTTGAGTCATTCCTTTATTAAATAGTTAATGCAGTAAGTCAGAGACTGTTCAGATATCCCCAAGGACCTTATTAGCATATATTTATACCTAATAAATTAGAAATTGTAATGGAAATAAAGAGGCATAAAAATAAGTCATACATATTAGCAGTTGTTTATTTCCCCATCCTAATCTCTGCTATATAAGAATCATCTTGTATTTCTATTTCCAAAGTGTGTTTCTGGATTTGACCTTTATAGTGAACTGTTGCTAAGTTAAAAAAAAGAAAGTTCTCCTGAATTTCTGAGAGTTAATCTATGCATGTTTCTTTTGTGCTCTGAAGGCAGTATTAATCACTGGAAAAGGCATCTCTTTTGGCTGTTATACAACTAGACTTGCCTTAGGAATACCCTGCTTGTGTGGTGCAGATACAGGTACCACATCTTACAATGTCCGGTTTAGTATGTGTGATGTCTGCCCTGAGAGTATAAATAACACCAGAGGCTTCTGAAGAAATCTGATCAAGAGACTTGTCATAGCTGTACAATTACACTTCAATATTAAAAAAAATCAGCAGAAACATCAGTATACTTGAAACTGCAGCTTGCACATTCTATACATTTGATTTTCAGTACTTGTGTCAACAGAATTATACTTATGTACTGCTCCAAATGTTCTTCCAGACTATCAAAAAATAATGAATTAGTTTAAATATTAAGAATAGATACAGTCAGTGAATGAGATTAGTGAACAAGAAAACTGTAGGTCTTTCCTTAAAATATTTAACCTTGAAAATGAATATTCCGAATCTCTGCTGAACAAATTTTCATTACAACCAAGCAGAATCTAGAGGCAGAAACAGACGGTGTGGATGAAGAAAATTATTCTATGGAATTAACAAATCTTCTAAGTTAAAGTTTAGCCGAAATGTTACCTTCTTGGAACAAGCTCATTCCAAGCAGTGGTTTTGTGAGATTTAGCAACCTGACCAGAAGTCAAATCCCTTCCCCCCAACATTTGCAACATCTTTTCCATAGTTTTTATTAACTCTACCCATTGTTATATAAAAGCTTATCATACAGCCATGCTCCAGACTTCTCATGAATCATCACCTAAGAACAAACACTTCTATGAAGAGTGAGTATCTTGACATACTGGCAGATCAATGACTCCCAATTAATGTGTCCACTCTAAAGCAGCGGGAAAGAGTATCCCTTGTCTCACCTGCTTGAACTTACCTCTGAAAATCAGAGGAAATGGGTAGGAGAATCCTTCTGGGTGACAGTTCCACTGAGCGAGGAAAGAATAATACAGACTATGGATGCACCCTCGAAGCTAATTCTGGACATGTTCTTCTTTACATTCTCAAACACAGATCTTCATGAGTTAGTCCCTTGCTTCCACAGAGACTAGCTAAATGTCATATTTCAAGTATTTGTCTTTTTTTGATCATCCGTTAAATATTTGTGTTTTGCTGACATGGCATTCTTGTCTTTGTCAATTCAGGGACCACGATACTGTCTCACAATTTGAACAGCAGTATCTTGAATGGCAAATGAGCATAAAAATGTTCAGGAAGTAATTTATTCAGTAACTTGAAAAAAACTATGTTAGAGTTAATTTAGGAATTTGAATGCTTGTTACAATATCCTGGATGTATAGAGCATTCCTGGAAGTGAAAGGTCTTAATTCCTATAGATTATGTCAGCTGGGAGGAATAATTTGTGGTGATTCAAGTAATTAACTGCACCTTGTCAGATGTTTGAAGAGCTGGCTGTCACCAAATTAAGTGTAAGAATTTACTATCCCACATATGACTAGGGCAGAGAAATACTTTGTAAATATTCTTAAAGCGCGCAAAGAAAAAAAAGGAGCCTTCTGAATAGATAGTAGATTGTTGCTGTCACAAAACACAGATTATTTCCATAAACTAACTGGAAAGCTATATGGAAATTAACACTCATTGTAACCTGGAAGTAATGAGCTAATGCATGGTATTGAAGAAACAGAACGGAACAAACCCCCAGACAGGCTCAGAGGAGATGGGAAATGGTGATTGGACTCTGACAAGCAGAGGAAAGAGATGCTCTCAAGAATCTGATGCAATATATGAAATAGTTGAGATAAACAATATACAATTCATCTCTGTTCTTGACATTATACAGGATGGAGAATAAACCCCTGTTCGGTGTAAGTTATATAACTCAGCACATTATTAATTTGCACCTTCCCTGGTATTTTCCCAGATAGACTTTCACTTGTAAATGTGGCAATGCACATCTTCCACCTGTGGAGGCATTCACAGGGTTACACATTGTTTTCCCCATAATTAAGCTGAAAGGCCAGACCAGGAAAAAAACTTCAGGAATGAATACACTACAGCTGTTGTGCTGTTTTTGGATATGAACTTTTTCCCCCTCTGCCCCCACAGCGAGTAGACTGGGAGTACGCAAGAACGTGGGAGGGGAAAAAGCAGACAGATGACCCAAACTGTCCAAAGGGTTATTCCATACCATATGATGTCATGTTCGGCACCAAAGGCTTGGGGAGAGGAGAAAGAAGGGGAATATTTGTACTTATTGCATGTCCTCCCAAGTAATCATTATGTGTACTGAGGCCCTTCTTCCCAGGAAGTGGGAAGAACATCTGGCTGCCAGTGGGAAGCAGAAAGTAAATTCCTTAATTTGCTTTGCTTGTGTGTGCAGCTTTGCTTCACTTATTAAACTGTCTTCATCTTGACCCACGTGTTTTTAGCTTCTGCTCTTCCAATTCTTTCCCCCATCCTGCTGGGGCAGGGGTAAGTGAGCAAGCAACTGGGCAGGTACTTAGCTGCTGGTCAAGTTCAACCCACCACAAATACTGTCACCAATTTTTTCATTACTTGGAGCAAAATTTCTTGCAGTTGCACAGTCAGATATTTTTTTTTTTCCCCTCTGTGCATATATAGTTCTGTGGTACAACTTTTAACTTTTACTATTTCTATGTATTTTTACCTAACACCTTAGCTGGTTTGTTATATTTGGATCTAACTAAGTCTACAGAAGAGAGAGAGAAGAAACATTTTACTTAATTGCATTTGGAGAGCTTCCTTTTTGTTACTCTGCTCATCATTTTGTGTCTATGTATGTTATTTCCTATATGCCACAGCCTTTCTGTGAAAGGATATCCTGGGATGGTGATCTCCCACAGAAAGCTGTAGGATTCTAACTCAAGAAGAGCCCTTTACCATCCCATCAGATGCCCCAGGACCTAATTAAGTAGTAGCTGCCCTTTGCCACAGCAGATGCATTTGATCACTCTTAAACTTCAGAAGGAAGAACATAGTCCGGTCATGGGGTGTAAGTGAAAAACTGTGTTGCCAAATAAAGGTATCTGAAGGAAGAACAAATTTTATGCAGATTATTAAAGAGATAGTGTAGACTGCATATCTTCTTTAGTATTACATGCATAGAATGTATGCTATGTAATACTAAATGCTAATTATGTTTAATGCTAATTATGTCTGGAAAATTCATGGATGTTCATCAGGTTTATCACAGAATAATGCTGTGATAGCCACTCCAAGGATTCCAGCCTATATTTTAGAGCTAAGATGAGATGCAGGAAAATAATTGTACTTGTAGATAATCTGGTTCTCTATTTTAATTACAAAAACATCTATATTAAGTAGTTGGCACTGTTCTACTTCTGTAGCTGTGTTCCCACACAGCTAAACTGGACAGAGAACATACTGGTCTCTGTCAGGTATTCCAGACACAAACATTCCTGGTGTAGTTTTGCTTAAACTATATAGTTTAACAAGAACAGCTGAACCCTGAGAAACCCCAACCAAAAATATGGATCAAATATACTTCTCTGTCTTAAATATAAAGTTTTCTGCAGAGTCAAAGAAAATAATATATGTATCATGCAGAATCCAGGAATATTTTAAAACTTGTACCTAGGAGAACTTAAATTTTGTTATGTTCTGTATTGTCTTCTGTTGTCATCATATGTTACTGAAACACAAGCTAAAAGCTGTATATGAGAAAGAATGTGAAAAAGCTAAGTTTTTCTCTTTTGCAGTTTAACAACATTTTATTTTACATTAATTGTATTATTAAAGCAAATATTCCTTTTTAAAGTAATATAATGGAAACATCAAAGACTACAATCAGTGAACTTATTTTGAAAACTTAACTTTAAAACTATCACCAAATAGCCAAGACAAACTGAATTTACTGGAAGCAGAGAAAAAAAAAATCATTAAGCCAAGACTGAAACAACAGTTCAAGTACAATGACCAATGGCCACCAAATAAAAAGCAGTGGAAGAATTACACATGTGATTGGTTACATGTGCCATATATTCTGTTTCTGTTATGGTATGAAAAACAGTTTACTTAATGTCACACAGGAGAGCCACTCCTCTCAATATCCAGTGGTCTGGAGACACTGCTGTCCTTAAATAGATCACTGTAATATAGTTCAGATCTGTCCTCTTGGGCTTCTTGTAAAGAGGACAGACATAGAGCTTGGGATCCTTAGGACTGGTTGTATTAACAGCAAATATATGCACCACAGGCAGCTGGACAAAAAGAATCTTTGGTGTAGATTCAATGAGTTTGCTATTTCGTCTGTCCCAGCCTGCACCTTCCAAGTATAGCCCATAGATATATACTCCTTCCTGTGTGGAGAGTAAGCAGATACATCGCACAAAATAAAGCATCTGTTTTGTAAAATGAGTAATTGGCTTAAACCATTAAAAGGAGTATATGTTTTATAGTAAAAAATATCTGACATTGAATATTTTCAAACTACTTAATTTTAAACTGTAGTACCATCCTTTTTCGGAAGATAATGCTACTGAAATGGATGGCAATAGAAGTTGTTTAATAAAGCCCATACACTACACAATTTAATCTAAAGTTTACTATAAATTCCAAAAATCAAGAGGTGGTACAATGAAATGGTTCTTTTAATAAAATATTTCTGCAAAATAAAAAAATTTAGATCTTTATGCTTATTGTTATTTATCTTCTATGCTGAGTAAAACCAGTGAGGTGAAGACAATAGTAACTTTTTCCTCTAGCAATCCAAAATGACTGAATAATAAACAATACAAATTAAATACCAAAATTAATACTGAAACATTTTTGCATGTCATACATACAGAAGGAGGTGCTGTGATTTCGTCTTTGTTTTGCTTTAGCACTTCGTTATGTATTGTAACTGTATCTAAAGCCCAGCCTTTATGTGCTCGAGCTGCTTCTTGTCTCATTGCTGTCAGGAATCCTTGAGAAATTAAGCCAGAGATTTAGTATATATCTCACATAACAAAAAAAATCTTGCTTGGTTATCTGCATAGTTCTGCACTGAATGTTATAGACAGATATTTAGAGTTCTATTGAAAACGAGCACCTTGACTAATGATAGCAAACTTTGCTTTGGTCCAAAATAGGAACAAATGACAAAAGTGGCAGAGAATGCATTACACTGAGAAAAATATTTTTAAATGGCACATAAAATATATTTTTTTTTTTTTATACTGAATTATTCAGTTAACAAATGCTTGCTCAGGATACTGATTTACAAATTATCATTAGGCAATCAACTACAGGATCCATGGTAGATTTGTATTCCAAGAAGGAGTTTGAAGGCAGACAAGATATCAGTTATGTGAGCTGATATTTATGTAAAGGTAGCTTAGGGAAAAGGCAGTTTTTATTTTAAATGAAAGAAGTAGAAAAATAAAATAAATTTCACTGATGGAAAACAGAAAAGGTGTGTCTGAATGTGATAATAAAAATAACTATATGAGTGTGGGGAATCTAGACAAGGCAGTGCCTATGAAGGATGAAGAAGGGGGTCCTATACAGAAATGAAGGTAGAGGATGACACAATCAAGCAGTGAGTTAAGTGATTTTTTGAGTATTGTTTGAAAAGACTTTACAGAGGTTTGCAATAAAAAAGGTTTGAGAGGTAAAGGGCTGAATAGTATAAGCACACGATGACAAATAACTGGGCAGCAAAGAGGTTTGGATGTGTTATAAAGGAAAAAGTTACAAAAATGAAACACTTGTAGCAAATACCCGGTTGTGTGTCTGTATAAGTGTCTCAGAAGATGACAATGCAGTCACCAAAAAACCAATAGCTGCTGTTTTATGTTACCAGATGAAGAACTACTTGGAGTTGTCAGAAAGAGATTGAGGCAAAGAGAGAAAAGTTAACAATAGAGAACTGCATACTTAAGAGTGATTACTGTAAAGACTTAAAGATGAAATAGCATCAGTTTCTTCTTGATAGGGCATAAAGGAAAAGACGACTAGCGTTTTGTGGGCTGTCAAGTATCCACAAGGAGGTGAAACCACCGACTGAAATACTGACAAGCTCTGGGGAAATCATGAAAGTACACGGGCATGCAGTAGAAGACAGCATTTCAAGATTTAAGAAGTGGTTTAACATGCTGATTAGGACAAAGCCCATTAGAAGCTAAGATAATTGTCACAGCTGAAATATTCATATGTGATGTAAATGCAATTAATGTAGTACTTGAAATGAACATGTATTCATTTCTCAAATACTATATATTCTGATAAAAATAAAACAGAGTGATCTAGGCTTCTAAATTTTGCTAAAAATTAATTATATCTCTATAATATGATATTTGGTTTTTCATAAGCCTGTTCATTCCAAGTGCCATGTCTACTGACTGGAATATCGCACCACCACTAACATACATTCTCCCTTAACAATGATAATTTATAGGAGACAAGCACTGATAATTGCTAAAAAGCCACAACAAGTTTAAATACAATTATTGGTGATACTTTATAGTACTATAAATAGATTTTTCCACTAAACTGATAAAATACATTCCTCGTGTTTTAACATTATAATGTATTTGCCAATGCTATGATAGATTTAAAGCTTGATTCACCAGTGCAATCAGTCTAGATTTTCCTGCAATGGCAGCACAGGGTAGTCCAATTTCTGATTTACCTCACACCAGTCAATTTTTAAACTTTACTGTATGATTTGATTTACTCATAATTTCCTGGTGAGCAGTATTATGAATACAGTAACTATACTTACCTCACCCCCAGCCATAGCACACCTTTTGCACTGAGCAGATTTCTTTCTCCATCTACAGGACTGTTTTTTTGGAACACAGAGGTTGAAGCAATCATCAAGTTCAAGACCATCTGTGTCTCAGGTTTGTTTGCTATTAGGCTAAATATTTTCTTTGGTCAAAAGAATCTGGTCCATTATCTTCTTTTATACCTCCATGAGTACTGCTCTTGAATCACCAGAGATCAGTATGCTTACCAGCTGTGCTATTTATGATACAAATGGAATGATGTTTTGACTGGCATCTCAATACCATCTTTTAATGATAATTTGGATGTGCTCCAGGCACCTCAACTGTTTCTAAGAGCGACTCCAAAAAAGACTTTGATATTAGTACTTTTTACGGTCCTGGTCATAGAAAGGCCAGTAAGAATAAAAGCATCACAAAGTGAAGATAACTCATAAAATATTCAAGGATTTCAGAGGTTAATCCTAATTTAAAAAAACCACCTCATAGCTGTGACATGGGAGAAGTTTCTCATGAGAATTCTGTATGGAGAGTTGTGTATGCTAAATGAGATTCTTTTATGAACATGCATCTAATAAGGTTAACAGGTTTTGTTACTCAAGAAGATGGTCACAATTTGTTTTTCTTCCTCTTTCCTATAAAATGATAAATATATCAAGCTACAACAGATAATGATAGATAATGTTTACTTGTACTTTGCAGTATATCTTTGATTAATTTGAACAAACTGTTCATTAAATAACGTGAAATGGAAACACTGTGAAAACTACAGTTTGATGATTCTCTGTGAAAGATAGATAACTACTATAAATTCTGGTATAGTTGCATGTTCATAGAATCATAGAACAGCCCAGGTTGGAAGGGACTTTGAAAGATCACCTGGTCCAACCTTTTGTGGGAAAGAGAGCTTAGATGAGACTATCTAGCACCCTATCCAATTGCATCTTGAAAACCTCCAGCAATGGGGACTCTACCATGTCCCTGGAGAGGTTGTTCCAGTGAATGATTGTTCCTACTGTAAAAAAATTCTTTCTGTTGCTACTGTACAGCATATAAATAACATATTGCTCTAGATTAAAGCTCTTCCATACTCACAACTTACAGTTTGGAATGAGTTAAAACAGTTTGAAACCACAGGAAAAGCATATTTTCTTTAAAAGCTGTATCATTATCATTAAGTATATTTTCTTTAGAAGCTGTATCATATCATGCTAAAATATGTCAAAAAGATAAAGCATTTTATGTGTTAACTACATGTTTTCCTTCTTGTAATATAAAAACTGTGTTTATGGGTCAGACTAAAAGACCATCTGTACAAGCATCCTGTCTCTGACACTAGAAAAAGGCAGATGCTTAGTGAAATAATATCACGACAGGCAAAATGGCACATAAATCCTTTCCCTTCTATGTTCCTCCAGATTCTGGCAATCTGGAGCTTACAGATCTCCCAACTTGAAGGCTAAGTTTGGACAGTCATGTTTATTGTTACCATTGGACCTGTTTCCCATGACTTTATCTAATCTCTTTTTTGAATCCATTTATCATCTTGGCTTCTATGACATATTCTGACAGCGATGAAAACATTTTTTCTAGGTGTAATATTAAATTAGATATGTAGTAAAACCCATTAAATTATGATTAAATATATTATTGCTCAAGTCCTTTCAGTACCCTTACCTTGTGGATTAAAGAATCCGGTCATCCAAAACACATTTGGTCTTCCTTCATATATCCAAGTAGAGAATTGATTATTTCTTTCCAGAAGTTCAGTAAACCAGAAGCCAAGTGTTGAAGAATCCCAAGATACTCTTTTCCATACTTGAGGAATTCGAGCATCATACATATTATCAAGTGCATCTCTCAAATTCTGAAGGAATGAAATTATAATATATGAACTAAAGCAATTAAGGTAATAGTTTAAAATAGAGTATTCCATACGCAGTAAATATGCTTTTACTTGCCTCACTCATAATAATAGTTCCTTCTATGGCTAATTTAAGATCATTCAAAGTGTTGCGGAGTATTGTGATGACCTTTTGCATTCGGTCAATTTCTTGCCGAAGAAAAATATTCATAGAGTTAAGTTGTCCCATTTTAATTAAACGAGCTTTTACCTAAAATATAGGAGCGCAGAAGAAGGAATTTAGTTAAATCTGAAATACTGAAATACTGTTGTCATATTTGACATCTTAACTTTCTTGTGTTCAGAAAAGTAAATAGTGGACTTGTACTTCACATTATTCAACTAACATTTATCCCCTTAAAACTGTTGCAGTTTTTATTTTTATTTTTTGGCTGATACTGCCCAATTATTGCTAGAACAGGACTTCACCCAGAAGGCCCAGGAGACTGCTGTCACAAAAAGTCAAGACTGATTTTTTTCTGTGTTTTCACATGCAGCTTTGGAAGTCCAAGCATAGTCTCCATGACATATCTCCATGATCAATTGTTAGATGTCTTGATTTTAAATAAAAAAGCCTCATATCCATTCACTCTGATAGCGATAAAGATGCTGGTTCCTTGCTTGAATCTGCTACTAGCTATATGATCTTTCTTTACAGTTCAGGGTTTCTTTTTTGGAATATCTTATGTGAAAACTCCACAGAGAGAACAGTAAGAAAACAACTAAGATTAGCTTGCCTCATGGGCTATGTAATCTGGAGGAAGTTTCTCTAGCATGTCTTCAGCTAAACGATAAACGATTGCTTCACGAGTTTCTCCAGGTCCTGCACCGCTTTCTTTAGGCTGAATGTTGGTAATGGTATCTAGAACATCAGCTGCTGTATTACTTTGGTATCTAAGAGGTTAAGAAATATGTTATAAGTAGCAGAGGATTTTTTAATAGTTAAAAGAATACTTTGTAAAACACACAATTTGAAAGTTGAGAAAAAACGTACTGTGTCACCAGGTTAAATCAAAACTCCCAAACGAAATTGATTTCCTTTGTGTCCTGCACCAACCTGAACACACTGATAGTGAATGCGTGGTTTTCCATGGTTGTAAAGAATATGAACTTCCCTCCACACACCCTGTTATACAGTTGCTGGTTTTTCTAATTCAGGGCTAAGAAGAAGAAAGAGTTCTGCAGGCTGCTTCTCAACCTTTGAGAGTGTGAGGAAAACCTATCATATGATTTCTAGGGATTCTAAGGAAAGGGAAGAAAATGGCATATGCCTGAACTTCTAAACAGCTATTTGCTGGGAAGAAGCAACAAAAGTTTTGTAACATGGAAGAATATTTCCCTCATTTAGTTACTTCTTAAAAGTGGAATGCAGAAGAAGGAAAAGGTGGAGGCATAACTCTGCAAGCTGCCCCTTTATTAAATAGTAAATTCATTCTGCATTGAGGTATTTCAGGATTAATGATAAAAGCTGCTAGATTTACAGCGTTGGAGATTAAAACCTTCTATTCCATAGTACAGCATGGGCAGTGCTTATGTAAATTTATGTTGTGAGTCAATACAAAAAAGTGAATTAAATTCATGTGGTATTTCATGGTAAAAGATAGTAGACCACGTCAGTCCTTCAACACAATCAGAATTATAGGAGTACTTTTGTTATAATGCGATAGTGGCATAGAGCTGCGAGAGGCAGTAAGAAAGAACATGTAACAGTGTATATGTTGGTACTGCAGTGTTGGCATTGCCTACTTTTACCTTATGGAATCAGCTACCTGAGGAACATACAGCCTGAGTCTGACTCAGAACATAAATTTATACTGACTCAAAGCATAATTTTGCATGTCAGTTTTACTTTTCGATGTTCATATGACACCCATCTCCTTCTATTACTTTGTCATACATAATTATATAAGAAATGAAACGAAGGATTGTGCCACAGGATAGAAGATGTGAAGTCCTAAAGCCTCTAAGCTTTGGAGATAGTATCGTAAGACTACAGAAGCTAGTAGACTACAAAATCTACTGCAGCATTTCAACATAAACTGTTTGTGAATGTAATTATAGAGACTATAAATCAGAAAAACAGAAGAAATCCTACTGGCAGTTTGCTTCTCAGAGGACATAATTTCTGCTTCTGAATGTAGGAATGCTGAGGATTTTGTCTGGCAAAACTCTCAAGCTTTTGTCCATTTATGGCCCCATTTAAAGAATGATAGATTTTTTCAAGACCTCCAACAGAAAAGTTGGATAAAATCAAATTTCTTTCAGACCCATGGCTTCATTCCTAATTTGGATGACATACTGGTGGTTGTAACACTTTCTCTGGGTCTTGCTGATCTAATAACTAGTGATAAAAGAGATGTGAACCTTCACACTGCAAGTACGGTTCTTCCAATACTGCTGTCAGACTTTTCTATGTGGAAGGAATAGGTTCCATGATTATTACATCAATTAAATTATAAAATATTACAGAATTATAAAAATGAATGGTCTTTCCCCAAAGATAAACAAAAATAGAAACAATTTAAAAAAGAAGGCAATATGCAAACTTTGGGGAAAAGCAGAGAACAGTTTTTGAAAAATAACCTCAAAGGAGCAGAATCAAAGGTAAGTAATATTCCTTTCTTCAATGACACAAGCTAGGAATCTTCTGGAGAGGAGAAATGATCATCTGAATCTTGTATAAAGAAGCAAACATGAATAGCAATAGCAGTTTGAACAAGATGACTTTTATTGTAAATAAAAATAGAAAAGACAAAAAGATGCATCTTAATGTGTACATAATTAAAAATAATATACCAGTGTGGAAGTGAGGAGAAAATAGAAACAAGAAATTTCATTCACATCACAGTGGGACACAGTGAATATAAAAGACACTCTGAAACAAAATTTTTCTGGGCTTTGGAAAACCTGACTTTCCTTTACATTGCAAATAAAATTTGATGTATAGATGCAAACAATAATGAAAAAAAGATTGCACAGGTTTGTAGAGGAGGCACCATGTTCCTGGAAAGGAAATCAGATATATACGATGGGGTCTCCCTGATCACATTTAGACATCTAAATGTAGGTGTCTACATAACAGCTGTTTATCTAGATTGCCCGCATAGGTAATGCAAAGAAGCATGATTCAGCTCATCTATTTTAGATGTCTGCTTTGTGACCAGAGGAACTTGCACTTTACAAGGATCTATTTTTCTCTATTACACTAAAAGAAGTCTTGGGTAACCATAAAGGAAGCTAAAGCAACATTAAATGAATTTCATTTACAGTCCCAATTTTGCCTAAATGTGAGTATGTAAGATAAAGCAATTCATACCTGTTTATATTGTTCTGCCCTGAAGCAGTATTGCAAAGCAAATTGTTTCATAAGAAGAAAAAAAGAAGGAATTTTCTATGGATTTTGATTTGCTCCGAAAAATATTATTAAGAATATTTTCTTATAGAGTTTGGATTCAACAACCTATCATAGTTTGATAGCTGGAATCTCTGCCATCAGGAATTTTCTGTACTGGAAGTTAAAACTAAGAACAAATGCAGTTTGACAGAAATACTACCTCAGCTTTATTACCTCAGCTTTGTGTAGAAAACAGCAATATCTGTTGCAATGTGGTATTCAAAACCTCACATTCAACAACGGGAGATTCTGCTCTGTCTTCAGCTGGTTAATAACAGCTTGCAGTAACTTTACAAAAATTCACTTAGATTTAAGGCTTCAGTATTAAACCAATTGGAGAAGGGGTTTTGACAGAAGATTGTCAGAATGTTCCTTGCATGCTCAGGTACCTGTTAACTATGTGGCCTTTGCAGAGTCTATGGTTCACATAGCAAGTTAAAATCAGTCACAATGACTTCAGGTGTTAATCTCAAGTGGATGAAAGTATTGACATTCAGTGAAGTCTTACAGTTGGAACCAATGGATCAAGGTTTTGGCTGAACTGGAAAACTGTCCCACTAAAGTGGGAGATAAAGTCTTTCTTGTCATTAGTAATAGTAACATGGAGAGGTCCTGGCTGTCTCAGGGTTCCAATTCCAGCAGTTAGCCTTCTGCATACTCTGAGATGTCTTGACAGGATATTTTAAGGAGAATTTGAATGCAACTTTTTATGGGATTGTATGGGATGCTAGTCCATTTGGTCTGTGTGTCAAAGACGAAATTCAGACAGACAGTACCTGTGTATAGTTGCCTATAACAGACCGTGATAAATCATGGAAAAAAGCACGAAGCTGTTGAACATTTTCCCCAAACTCTAAAGAAATACCTACAAAGGAAAATCTCCAGAAAAAGGACTAAAGTAGCAGGAATATGCTGATATACCAAGTGGAAGAAAAACTCAATACTAGAGAGAAATGAGAGAGCTGTTCCTACCCACTAAAGCTCCCCGAACACTGTTAGTCTCAAATTTCCTTCTATAAATTAGCCCTCCTATAAGCCTAATTTTGGATCCAAAGCATGTCTCTCTTTAGGACTTTGTTTAGTTCTTTGTTAAATCTTGGCTCTTCTTTAATCCGTTCTGGAAGGGAGGTCTTGCAAGTATCAGAGAAAGACTTGAAACACAATCTACTCTTAGATTCTTTTCTTCAGAAGTATATATTTACAATGGTAGGTGCTAGGCAGCATTGACCATAAAACCGTGTACTGTTCTCTCAGCATGCTTAGAATACTGGGCTTTTGATATGGCATCAGCCTTTCAAATTTGAGACTGAAAAATTGTGGGAAATTATTGTTTTGTCCGAAAGTATTAAAAGATATTAGGTTTCCACAGCGGTTGGGCATTTGAATAACTGTTGTTTTTTTAAAAAATACAAAAAGCTGTGTTAAGAAACAATGAATGTGGACGTAATGAAAATGCAATAATTCATGGCAGAATTATTAAGAACTTCAGTGAAAAAAAAAATGATGATGATTCATATCCTTTCACAGGGCATATAACATTAGAAGGAAATAAAAGCCAAGCTGTTACACACATTATTTGGAATGAAAAAGTGAATTAAGTCAAAGATAAAATTTTAAACGGAGTCAGTACTTGGTGAGGTTTGAAAAGCCTCTTTTAAATAATGGGAATGGCAGGACTGACGGCAACAAAAGATTGTAGTTACATCCAAAGGCATGCTGTAAACCAAATGACAATCCAGAGAACCATTTAACAAGTGTGCACAAAAAAATAGCATACTACTTAGAACAGAAGGCAAACATTAGAAACTTTCTATAGTTGAACTGCATAGAACCTTGCATCATGAGTTCATATAAAAGTTTTATAATGCTTTCAAATTTAAAAAAAAAAATCTAAAACCATGAGAAACAATAAGAATTCCAACTGCTTTAAAGATCATGTAAAATGTAGCTGAAGATACTGCATTCATAATCATGTACATACACATCAAGTGTTCCACTTCAATAGTGAAATTCACATGAATCCTAGACTTCCTATGAAAAATATACTTTACTTAAGCATTTCATAGGGATTTGTTTCCAAATACTAAAAGAAAGGATCTTTGTTTTCAATATGTTGAGACCTACTTACGTAATATCAGCATTAGGATGGAGACCAAAGACCTTTGGGCTGTCCATGGCAGGGAGTGACTTGATGTATTCAAAATACTGTTCCAGGGTTTTGCATACTGGAATTTTATATCCAGTGTGAAAACAGAAAGTGCTGTCAAACATCTTTTCATTAAACCATACCTGTGAAAAATCCAGAGGAAAAAAACACAATTACTTTGCTACTCAGAGTTTTTTTAATCTCATTTTTATTCCTGGAGAATTAGAGCTCTTGTTTTAGCTACTACACCTACTTTTACTTGAATACACAAGTAAATCATTAAAAGCTATGTCTTCTAAGTTTGAGTTCCAGCTAAGTCTTTTTAATAGTTTCTGCTCCTCATTAAAGAGAAACCAAGGGGAAGAACCTCACTGCCAAAGAATATGTTCTGAAAAATTCATTTTACTCTGAAGAGTCTTATAAACTGGTGAAGAAGTGCATATTCAGCAGAAAGAAGGTCTTCTGATTTCTGTATTTGTCAATAAAAATGACAAATAGCTGTATTTTCAAGGTCTCTCACCCTTGCAAAGCAATTAAGAAGACGTTTATCAAAGTCATCTGTGACTCGGCCTCCATATTGTACTTCTCCAATCATGTAGCGTACCGTGCTCCATGATATCCCCTAGATGCAAGTAAAGTAAATAAACGGCTGTAGTTATAACATGTAAGAAGAAGATATCCAGCCTGTAACTTCAATATCATCTGAAGCTCATAAGGCTCTTAAATGTAAGCTGAAAAGATCATTGTTGCAAGAAAAAAATACTTTATTTCTAATGTATTTTCTGAGCTCAGCTCTATAATTTTATAGTAGAGTTGGGTTTGATCCTGCTATTAGAATTATATATCATTATTTCTTGTGTGACCTGAAATCACTCTCAGCTGCTACTGCCTCTCCTCTTTCTTTTTTTTTCCCCTTCCCTCAGTTTCTCATCTTTCTCTGTTGACAAAGTGCTGCCTTGCAAGGAATGGCTATTTTATTACATTATTCCCTGACAAATAGTAGAAGACCAAATGGCAGCCATAGAGAAGTTTGATAGGCTCTGTCAAACTCTGTAAATATTTTAGCTCCCTTTCCAAAACAGATATTGTATATATTTTAGATATGGTACTGAAAAAACCAAGATCAAATTCTGAAGTTCTTAACTATTAGATATTTTTACATGGATGATAGCACACAAAACATTTCAGCTTGACTGTCTTACAGAGAATCTGAAACTTTGATCACTAGAAGCTGCACTGAAAGAATAGCAATGCATAAACTATTATAAATAGTAACACGAAGAAAAAAACCAATTACAGATGCTATACAAAGCAATTAAATATACTGTATGCAAATTTTAGTATTCACCTTCTTGATGTCACATTCATCTAGGTGATTTTGTATAAACTGAACACTGGCTGTAAAGTCTGATGAGTTAAATTCATAAGGAATATTCCAACCCAAAGGCCCAAACTTGCGTCGTTCCTTAGGAATACAATTAAAACCAAATATGTTTATGAAACAACATATAATTTTGTTTCATTATTAAAGTTCAGTAATAATAATAACAATGGAGTAAAGCATTGAACTGAAGAGGAAAGCTAGCCTAGGAAACAGCTGTGTGCCTCATACACAAAGTAAAAACCAAAGTTTATTATTAAGTTACACCATTAGGGATAAATATTTATAGAAAAAGCAACAGAATCATTTATTGCTACCTTTACTAATCAATGTATCAGTCACAGGTTTGAAATGTCTTGTCTGTGTGGATGATCAGATTTTTATATTAAGTAATTAATTTAAAGAATTACCGAATCTCTGCATTTTCAGCACACTCAACAATTCCGAGTTCTACAGTTTTTCATTTCTTTCTACACATACAGTCTAATGATAGTTTCAATTTTTCAAGCTCCTGTATTTATGTTCGGTTATCCAAAGGCTTCTAGGTTGCCCCTTTTGTCTTACTGTTTCACTGTATTGTTTTAATATGTTTTTCAAAATTCACAACTTTATTATAAGGCTTCCACCACTACATTATTGAAATTTATCATTGCATACGTATTTGAAAACAAAATTATAACACTTGCAGGAAAGTAAAAATAGTTGACTATAAACGTAAGAGAATATAATCTGCAGCCCAAATATTTTAAACATCCAATACTATTAGATTTCTCACAACTTTATTTTAACCACCTCAGTTACATTGCTCAATGATTTTTTTCAGAACGTAGAATAAATTAATCTAAGAAGTTAAGAATTAAATTGCTGAATAGTGCTGACATTTATTAAATGAATAAACAGTGTAATACTGACATTCTAAAATTAACTAAGTGACAACATATTTATTAGAATTTAAATTACCAGGTCACAATGACTGACAGTCTTTGACATCTAGTTAAGTAACATTTAGGTACCTTAGCTACAATATTTAAAAAGAACTAGAACTGAAAAAAAACTTTTATTTTTCCAAAATCAGGTATCGTTTATAAACAGATGAGATAGCATTAACCAATAATACCCTGCAGAAAGGTATAATGATTTTCTGCCAAATTCTCTGAATTACTTCTTAAGCTATATTTATCATAGCGATCTTGTCACCAAAGGATATTAGGAATTGGTCCGTTTAAAGGCAGGGCAATGTATATATTGCTTGCTGATTGGCAATCCATAAATAAATTTTCTGAAGAGATGAATAGCTATAATATTTTTTAAAAGTACTGATGGTTGAATAAGCTTAGGTCTTCTAGTTCCACAAGAACAGAATAATCCTGAGGCAGTACACAGAACAACTTTCTCACTGTTTATAAAAAGGTAGAAGGAGGAAAATAATGCCAAATACTGTATCTTAATAGGGACCTCAACAAATTATCTTTCTCTTTCATCATCTTTGTTACACTGAAAATATAAGCAGCTCAATAGAGCCTAAGGTTTAAACAGCCTTTTAGAACTATTTTGAGATCCTTGCTGAAAAGAAAGTGTATTCAGAGAGCTCAAAATGTTGGTATTTATTGTGATCTCAAAATTTACATATCTTTAAAGTACAAAATATACATATTGTGCTTACTTTGGAATTAATGGAGGAAACACATTGACACAGATAAAAATAAGATGAAAACAAGACTCTAGATGATAGAATTTTGTTTCATTTTAGCCATCTAGAAAGCAGACAGCTACTCTAAGGTAGGCATTTGGATTGCCTTTAAAATCAGTGGACAGAAAGAGTGATAAATATCCAGAAAATTATTTACTCTTTTATAGAGAGACAGCTAAGACAGATAAGATTATTTTCTTTTTCGAGATGCTTATCTATTTCTATTGACTACAGAGAGAGCTTTTTGCCTTACACCAAATGACTATCTTTTGGACAGCTAAAATTAGATGAGAAAAATCCTCATTCTAAATGCCCATAGTGTGAAAATTGTGTAAAATTTATAAAACAATTAAGAGAATAAAGAACCTTGAAATACAGATTATAGAAATTAAAGCTTCAGCCCTGAAACACGATGCTACAATAGATACCAGAATGCGTATTGTCAGGAACCTCTGTTAAAGTGACTCCATATATTATAACGCTATTTGCAAACCTTATAAGAAATACCTGAACTGTAGAATGCAGGAAAGCTACAGTGTAAAGCAAAGGTTTCCACATAGGCATATTGCTAACATCTAACAGATCCTGATTAATTCCAGAAAATGTTCTTTTCAAACTGGCACGTACACCTTGGGGAGGTTCGTTTGTGAACTTTATAGCAATCTGTCATGTGAAAAAGATAAAGGAATTGGATTTGTTATTGAACAAAACCAGCAACATACAAAAATGTCACAACCATTAATTATAAATAAAATGTAAATAGTTGAAGCATTGTAGATACAAAGTTGATATGTAGTTTTACTATAAAGTGCGTAAAAGGAATACATATTAGATTAGGCCACAAAACTCTGTAATATACGTTACTTTAAGATTTTGAACATAGACCTTCAGTTTGTGTTGGTCAGAACCATCACTGACACTTGTCCATGGATCTAAGAATTTTCATTAACAACCTGGAAGCAATGCCATGCTTTTCAGAAGGCATCATATGGTTCTCTATCCCTAATTCAATGACTGATGGAAGAGAATTATCCAGAGTAGATTACAAGAACTCTTTTGTATTTCTGGTCCCAGGACTTCCCAGTAAATACAAAGAAATCTCACCTCGCCTCAGATCAGATCTTTGTGTTCACAGTGGCTACTCTGGACCCTGTGGCTATGTCTGCAGCAGTAAATTAGTGTCACCTGAGAATGTTCCTGGGCACTCCGGTGAGCAGGCTTGGAATCCGCATTTGTGGTAGTAAATTGCCACAGCCCCTTAGAATACAGCCCTTTAGTTTCATGTGAACTGCCTAATGGGAATAGTTTCTACAAAATTTTAATTGTCAAACCATGCCTGCAAATTATTTGAAAGAGTGCTAGTTAGCACAGGTTTTCATGTCAGAGAATGTTGTAACTGCTTACCCCAATGGACTATTGCATTCCAATGCTGGGTAATGTTCATGGGCACACTTGAATCTATTAGTTCAGACACAGACTCACCTTACCAGAAACTGTATTCCCTGAGACACTTTCAAATGCTGGAGAAACCCGAACACAAAAGTATTTTTCTGCTCCAACAGTAAGTACTTGTCTGGCTGGCTTGGGTAGCATGGTAGCGTGCATTGAAAGGATAGTAAATGCCAGGCTGCCCACAGGCTGAATGCAAGCATGGCTCTGAACTGTCTCTACTTCTGAGAGACACTTAATGGAAGACACACTGATGAATATGTAGTTCACGTGGCAGTTGTACTATCTCCATATTTGTGGTAAAGAACTTCAATTATTTTTAAGGAACGACTTTTCAGCTTCAGTTTCACAAACCTGTTTCTGGGCTGCAAAGCCCAGGCAAGCTGTCTCAGAGATAAGCTGCAGCCTTCTGCAAGGACCTATGTGCGCATGAACACTCTAGAGCATTGGACTGAATGGGAGCACTTGCTAACCAGTCTTTCCACATTTCAAAGGATTTTTTCCATGGTGGTGTAGATTTCTTACTGAAGGTTGTCTCCTAGATTCATTTGAGAAAAGAACCCTTCCCCCCCTTCACATCCTACATATCAGGTTTGTTACCTACTTTTATTTAGAAAGAATGAGAACCACTAAGGAGACTCCCACTGCTTTTAAGAGGAAAGGGGTTTATGAACACAGAAGTGTCAACACACAGCTATTACACTAGATATTAACTAGCATTATGATCTGTTGTGAGAATGCTAGGAACCGTCATAAGTAACTTAAATGCACTTCCTAAGAGTTTAGGCAATTTTCCTGGTACTGATGAAAAATGTCTTCTTGAGATCTACAGAACAACCATTTATAGTTTATCCAAAGAAAAACAGGTAACTTCTTGGTAGATGATGTTCTTTGACAATGTGCTGTCCGTGTGTGTTCTATCCCCTTTATCCTTTATTTCAGATAGGGAAACCTGGAAGAGCCTAAGAACAGTTGTGGGCATTACTCTGTTCACAAAGGCATCTGGCTGGAAAAAAAGGGATACAGGTAAAGCCTGATAGTTTTGATTCAAGTGTTTCTGTGTATAGAATTAGTGTGAATTCACACATACATAATGCATCTTTGAGAACTTCCAGTTACTGGTAAGTAACCTTCCTGTTTGAAGTGGTATTTGCATTGTAAGGTAAATTCATTTTTTCTTGGGCTTTGTTTTTTTTTTTCCCCCCATTTATTTAATTTCCATTTGCACACTTAATCTGAATAATTTTGATGGCACAAGATACCTGAATTAAATATTTGAGCAAACCTGTAGCAGCGTAATTGGGAATTTAGGATGTGGTTCCGTAGTTATCCAAACTCGAAATGTCTCATTCTGTATCTCAGCAGTAAGAAGTGTCTCCAGTAGTTCATCCATAAAATCCAGTCCAAGATGACAATTCTGAAGTAACACCCAGCCTCCCTAAATAAGAATATCTACTATTACCATATAAAATTTAGAACAAGTTATTCATAATGCTAAACTCAACTGTCTATATTAGAACCAAATTTGGTCTTGCATGGGATTTTTTGGTTTGGATATTTTTTTTTTTTTTCTGAGTTTTTTGACTTTTGGTCTGTTCCTGAACACGTATTACCATTTGATTTTTTATTGGCACAGTTAAAGCAAATAGGAAAAGTTAGTGAAAAAGTTATTTCCACATCCTATTGTTCACAATAAAAATAACATAACCAGACACAATATTCTAAGTAAAGTATCAGTGCTACCTAGTGGCAAAAAGAAGTAATTCCTGTCTTCTCCCAGCAAAACACCAGTGATAAGCAATCCTGCCATCAGATCCAAAAGAATGTGAGTAGAAAAGTAACAGCTGAAATCTAAGGAATACATCTTTTTTTAAATTTATTTGTTAATAACATAATCTAAAGTAAGTGTAAAGAGATGGTAACAAGACTCTAAAACTTTTCAACTGCAATTAGTTTATATGCATATTAATTTTGATCTTATTCAGCTCTCAAGTTGCATGAAAGCTCTATTTTGATTATTATCTCTCTGCATTTCTGCTTATGAATTTAAATTCAATCAGCTTTTGTAGCATCACTTTAGAAGCCTGATGAATCAGAAGCCTGATATTAAAATGGAGCATTATTTAATCAGTTCTAAACAGTGATGTGTGGATTTCATTACAGCTTGTAATTTCATTTCGGCAATTTTGTTTTAGTTCATTTAAAAAGAAATAAATAACATTTGGTGACAAAATATAATTGAAATATTTATGGTGAACTGATGGATATTAAAAAAAAAAGATTAAATGAAGCGGGTTTTTTCCGTCTTTTGTGGGGAACCACTTTTTTGAAGAAGATTAATCAATTTGTCACATTTCCAAATGAATCAGGCTCAGTTTTTTAAAATTACCTACCTGTAACACAGCACAGCAGTTTTAATCATATCATATACTCTTGGCCAGAAGTAGAAACAAACCACAGATATTTGTCTTGTATTTACTAATTCTGTTTTGTTCTTGCAAATCTGATGTTCACATATCCCTCCCTCTGCAAAATGTGTACACCACCAAGGCATTTAGTTCAGAAATTGTTACTAGTAGCTCTACTGGAGTGCTGTTTTGCGTATCCTTGTCGTTTTAATTGAGGGCAAAGAAAGGCAGGGAGTCCCCAGTTTTCACCATTCCAATGAACTGGAAGTTCATGATGACAATTCTAGACATACGAACACAAAGAAGTGTGAGGGATGTATGTGTGCGTTTGCACATCATAAAAAATGCCATCTGCTATAAAGAGATTTGTTTCTTCTCTTTTTCCAAAGTGGTGTTCATCTATATTCCAGTACTGGTGTCACAACATTTGATAGGACTTGAGAGGTTGCTGGGATACAATATAGAGAACTTCCATAACCAAGGCTGCATTAGCTATAGAACCTTGGATTATACAGTAATGTCTGGCAAGTGTGCAGTAAAGGCCATATACAAGTATTATATTTGTCCATAATAGAGAAACACAAATGAAGCAGACTATACCATAGTACATCTGGGAAGAGATTTTTTTTTTTTTTTTGCCTCAAATGAAGATACCTCACAGATATCAGGCAATACAATTGGAACTCCCTGAAATGATACTGCCTGACCTTTTCTTTTCTTCTGCATGAAAGACAGGAAGTCCTGGAAAGGCTCTGAAGCACTTCAGTCTATCAGATTGAGGACAGGACTTTGCAGAAGTCTAAAGAAAGAAGCGTTTCCTCATCTCATTGTGATTAAACATTGGAGAATAAAGTGACAAAAGAACCACTTAGTTCAGATGGAAATCTGAAATAATCTTGATAAGTCCTACAGGATAGAATTAGGACACGATGTCCTTTTACCTTTGGATAACAGCATAGTGATGAGAAGGTAATGTGCTACCTTTGAAAAGCTGCTCAATATTACTGCTGGCAGAAGTATTGACTAGGACTCCACTGGCACATGCATATCCCACAGTGGAATGTTTTCAGGCTCAGGCACTCAAGGAGACTTTTCTACCCTGAGATATGCCTGATAGTAAGGTGAAAATGCAAAATATTGAAGATTGCATACAAAAGAGGTGTAAAAGAATGCTAAAACAGACAATCAACTTATACTGCAGTGTTTTTTCCCACCTGTTGCATTGACATCTGTATGAGTTTGCGTGCATGAACTTCTTGTCCTTGACCCATGGAGATGGTTCTACATTCTACAACATATTTGATAATATATGATTAATGAAATTACATTCTTCAGAAAAAGTAATAATTCAAATTCAGTCTAAAAAACCAGTGATATAAATACAGCACAATGAAATACATTTTTATACAAAAATATATACTTATGAAAGTAGAATCTCTTCACCATTGTATTATACTACTATGTATAAATTTTCTAAACATTGAAACTTTGTAAAATAACATTAAAATATACATCCACAATATTTACAGTGTTTGTAGAACTGAAAGACTGTGACTAATGTTGTTATTGTCAATGGGAATTTGTGCTAAATTTTAATGAAGTAAGCCACAGTATTTGAAATATGAACCCAGATTTTTCTTTAAGTGTAGGTAATGAAGCCACGTAAATAAGCATAATGCATAATTGTAAAATTGCATTTGTGAACATATTAATGTGACTAATATAATAAATAGATGTATCTACTTCCAACTAGTTTGTATGCACAATTTTTCAAAATTTCCATATAATGTAGCCATAAAGTCCAGAATATACAAACAACGCAGATGTTGTGGGTGTTTTTTGTTACAATGTAATCTTGTAAGCAGATTGCTGATTTTTAAGTTACCTGCAGTTAAGAGTTAAAACAAGAAAACAGTATTGTCACCATGCCAGAATTTAAAAAAAAAAAAAAATTGTCTTATAGTTAGGAATTAAAAAAATATCATCACTGGGAAGGATGATAACAATTTATAAAAAAAGAGCTGAAAACATTAGTGTTCAACTGCATACAAAATGATCCTCAGCATGCCATCTTTTATTTAAAATATTATTTTATCCCTAAGATGATGGTTCAGGAACAATCAATAGTGCAAAAGAATTTAAGAAATACTTTTCAGAAAAAAAAAAATCTCTGGAATTACTTACGTTACCCTTCTGTATCTTAACACATGACAACAAATAATTACTTCATACCTAATTTAAGCTTCCTAGCCAAGGAATCAATCTGAATAGTTGGGTCAGATCCCATAGACAAGAAACAGATGAGAGGTGTTCGTGTGTCACTTTCCTCCCAAGTTTTTTCTAAATTCAAAATGACTGGTTCTGTATATTTCTCATCCAAGGAATTTGCAATATATTTCCTGGCTTGGGAAAGTGTTCGGTCTGGACACCAAGACCTAGAAATAAAAATATATATCAAGATACAAATTCAATGCCTCTTGCTGTTCCAAAGACTAGACTTAAATTAGAAATTCTATTTTTATCAAATAGAGACTTTTGCTTCATACTATGCATATATATACATCCACATATGCATATACACATTCATATATATGTTTGTAGGTTTGTCTTTACAGATACAATAATAGACAGTGCTAGTAGTCTTCCCTCTACTTATGACTGTTCAATACTTTTCAGTTGCTTACAATTTTGCCTTAAGTAAACTATTTGCACTGGAATTTTCTGTTCTGGGTACCTTTATCAGGTTGGGACATTCTTCATTTTAAGAGCTTTTGTATCTGAGGACCCAAGTAGGGAAATGTAAGATTGCTTTTGCCTGTTAGTAAAATTCTGCAGATGTTTCATTGCATCTGTTAGCCTTTTAGGGTACAGACTCAACTCTTTTGCACTGGATTGCATTTGTGTTGGGGATGAGTCTTTATTTTTCCCAAGGGAAAAAAACCAAGCAACTACTTTTGGATAAAATATATGACTTTGCAAAGCTTCAATTTATAGGCTTAACATTTAAAGGCTTAGGACTTAGATGCTCCCCCTCCCCCCTTCAGGGTGTATAGCATAGAACAATATAGAACTTATTCCATCAGAATCTGGCCTTTTTTACTGCACAGGTTGAATCCGCTCCAAAGACAAATCATGGCCTAGTAATTAATGTTGTTGGTTTTTTGTAGTGTCTCTGATTTATTTGTTGTAGCACTTGGAAAGTATACAATGAACGTAGGAAGATATGATCTCATGCATAAGGCAGCTGAATGCTGTTTTGGGGAACTCCATTCTGTCCCGAGTCCTGCCACAGAGATCTTAGCTGATGCAATAAAATCACTTATAGCACACTTTTCACATGGCTGCAATGTGGTTCCCAGTTTCCATTTGTCATGACATAGAAGCAAAGCTATAAAAAATATTTTCTAGAAATAACTTCTTTAGATTCTTCAGAGGATAGCTCCAAAGTGAGTGAATTAAATCATATTTCAAGTGAGTGAATTAAATAATATTTCATGTTACCCAGAAATTAATAAAAATTACGCTATTATGATATAGCATACCAATAGACTGAGACACATAATGCAACCATGTATGCATTTCCCAATTTTCTGAAGATGCTCACCTGATGAGTAAAAGCTTGCGAAAGGTATCAAGGGAATCATTATATCCATCAGGTATAATTTCTTCCTCGGGAGCATCTTTATCAAACCAACTTTTCCATCCCTTTTCATTATGGGCTATCTAAATTTATTACATTAACACACATACAAATATATTTCAGCTGTAGCAAAATCCCCTTGTAAATGTATATTTTAATGAGAGTCTATTATTATATTAGGATCTATTTCAAATAACATTAAGAGTCTATAGCATGTAAGACATACGCCATGTGAATTGCTATTAAGATATTACAAATAGAAATTTTAGTATTAAGAAGCAGGCTCTTAAGCTAATCAGTTATCCATGGATTCGCCTCCCAAACACATGCAGCTACTTAAGAAAAATCAATATTTAGCAGAAGGATTCTATACTACAAGAGAAACATACTGTGATTAATTCATTCCTTCTGATCACAAAGTAGGAGGAACAGAAAAATCTGTCCCAGTCCAGTCCAGCCAGCCAAAGAATCACAAATTAAAAATAACAGACTCTAGTAAGCTTTTGACTTGAGAAAGAAAAAATCTGACCACAAATATGATCATTCTTAGGCACCTCTTAGAACCCATGACCTAATAGGACAAGGGACACTGGTGGACAGAACATAGTGAAAATTGCTATGCAGTAGAGCTTTTAATGCAGTCACTGGGAAGAGTCAGCTACGGCAATATTCTGAGATCACTGGAAAGAGAACAAGGAACACACTGATACCACCTGTTCTGAAATACAGTTCTATATGCTTATTATAAACCAAGGAGCTCTGTCCAGTTGACTAACTTGGTTTCAACTAGAAGTAGTTTCAGAACAACCTATGCCAAGCATGGAGTGGGAGAAGAGTGAGAAACGAACATACAGGGACCTCTTCCAACCACATATCTCCTATAACGAAACTCAGAGAGATTCATAAACACCAAATGTCCCTTTCTGAGCTATAATCCAAGTCTGAGAAAAAAAATTACTTTATAAGCAAATAGCTCAGTTCTACACTAACTGACATCAACCTGAGCCCATGCTAGGAGAGTATTCAGAGGAGGTACCTTCTCAAAGCTAGGCCATGGCCAGAGATAGGTTACTGAGCTAAAGGGACTTCAGTTGACTCAGTTTCTTTTTACCATCTCTCACTCAACCACAGCTGGAAGTAGTAACAGTGTGAAAAGGAACAGGGTCATCTAAATGTTTAAAGAGAATTAAGTTAGGCATCTGTGACTGGAGGACTTAATTTTTAGAGAAGAAAAAAAATTGTAATTGGCAAGAAAAAAAGAAAATCACAGACAACCTCTTGAGAACGGGGCATACCATTTTCAAGCTTTTTTTCCTTACTTTAAATCTTTTTCTGTTTGTATCTAAATGAATAATGACACAGTTGTATTTAATATGATGAGCCAAATAGAAGAGCACACTAATGGATGCAAATAAGTATTAAAAAGATGTTATTTCCATATTTGCATTTTTTATTGATATCCTAGTTGGCACTCTCCCAGATTCCATCTCTATCTATTACTAAAATCACCTAATTGTCACTTCTCAACTTGTAAATATATGACAATTTAAAGTTAGTGCTAAAAGATTAGTTTAAAAGGAGGCCTTTTGGAGTAACATGGTTGCCTAAGTATTTTGGAGTCTAAAATTTTGTTTGCACCAATTCTAGAAAAGTCCTATAACAGAACCATTACAATCTACAAATTAAAAGGAAAATACATAATTCATAACCCCATGGCTAAATTTAAATAATGTTAGCAAGCGTGCAGTGGCATGCATTTTGGGTTCTGGTGCCCAAACAACCCAGAGGGAAGGCCTAACTAGAATTTCTCCAACTTTCTCCTAACTCAATATCCTGTTTTGGTACCTCCAGAAACCAAAACCTGGAAGAAATGGGCTGGTGTGTATCCAGATCTTGCCTTAATACAGAGTTGGGAAACAGCCAGGACCACTTCTAGGTACACCATTTAGATAAAATGTCTGCTACCCTTCAGAGCACTAAATGCCGTCACAAAATGGACTTGGCTGACCAATGCTGTAACAGCAAGAACTTACTGTCCTGGCTCTCAGCCTGATTAACAAGGAGTGCTTAGGAGGTACAGAAAGAGAAATACTTACAGAGTGGTTTAACTACACTAAAAAAAGATAAATTTACCAAAGTAAAGAAAATAATTGATAAACATATCACAAGCTCATGTACATATAAGTTCATGTATGTCCTAATAAAATAAATAGTATTTTTATAGCTAGCTCTTTATATCTGAATAACATGTTAACCTTGGAATGGAAATGAGTATTTAAAAACAAGCAGCAAACAATTTACTTGTAAAAGTCTATCAGACTCAAGACATAAAACATTGTAACTTAAAACCTGACACTCAGATTAACTTTCTGAGCCTTTTTGATACCTCTATGTTTTTATCCTTTCTCCTTATTTCTGCCTCTCTTTCACTGGCTTCCTTTTTTACTTTAGTTCTTTGCTCCTGTTCTCTTCTCTTTCTACCTCAATGACTCTAATACAAAGTACAATGAAGCAGATAAAAAAAAACCATAGAGCAAATAAATATACTCCCATAGAGCAAATACATATACCTAGCTATACCTCATGCTACCTAGCTGTTCATTTCTATGCCTTTATTCTGTATTCTCTCTGGCCTTGTTCTTAACTACATCTCTTGTGCATTTTAAATGTAAAATACGGGAGCACAATTATGACTGGGAACTGGATATTAACATTAAAAACATAATTAGTAGATATCACCTGATTCAAAATTTCTGCAAACTGTGGAATTTTGCTCAATTCCACTAGGTTTAGCCACATCATGTCAAGAATCCAGCGGAAAGGTTTGGGTGGGCAAGCCTGTAGATCCAGTGCTGCACCTCCTGTAGATAAAACATTCTGATGAAATACACATGACATTCAAGGGGTCAAGATATATTTGACATTTCTTTTTAAATTATGTTTTCCGGCCCATGTAATTTTCACTGGGGTACTAACTGCACTCTTGCGTACTTAGCATTTATTTCATAAGATCATAGGATAATTTAATCTGGAAGACACCTCAGGAGGTCTCTAGTCCAGCCTGTTCAAAGCAGGGTCAGCTATGAGATAAAAATCACATCTTTATTCTGTCTGGTCTTGAAAACCTCCAAGGATGGAGACTATACAACTTTTCTAGACAATGTGTTCTAATGTTTGTCTGTCCTCATAATGAAAAAAATTCCCCTTACACCCACTCTGAACCTCTCCTTCTTTTTTCAGTTTATTTCTGTTGTCTCTCATTTTCCTCCTTGCACCACTGTGAAGAGCCAGGCTCAGTCTTCTCAATGGGTTTCGCATAGGTGTTAGAAGGCTACTACTGGGTCTCTCCTAAGCCTTCTGTTCACCAACCTGAACAAGCCCAGTTCTCTCAGCCTCTCATCTTAGATCATGTGCTCCATGTAGTTTGTTGTTATAAGTTTATACAATGATACTGATTATATTTGAAGTATGGGAAATTCTTTAATAATCTCTTGTCCTTTCCATCTGTGCTGATAATACAGTAAAGATAATTTTGTATTTAGCTGAAAGATAAAAATATTCCTCTGAAGACCATCCCTTAGACAGTCTATATTTTATCCTACTATTCCTAAAAAGAAAAGAAATTGGAAAGAGAGTCTTATTTTCTCAACTGCAAACTTCTACCTCTTCTGTAATTAAATGCATAGTTAAAATATCTAAAGAATGTTACACATGTTAGCAAAGTAATCTCCTGGGATCATTGGAAAAAAGCCCCAAACACAACAAGAGAAGAAAGAAACTCTGGACTGATTAGACAAGCCTAACAAGCACAAATCATTTTAAACAGCATATATAAGCCCAGATAGCCAGTAGATAATACACGTGTTTCACATCCTCTGATATGCAACTGAAGAGGAAATACAAAGGAACACCTCTGGGATAAGACTGCAATCCAGTTTTAAACAGATTAACTTTTAACTTCTTATCATAATTAGCTTTTTATCATAATTTTCTTCTTGTTGTAGCTGCCTCTTCCCCAGTCCTCCACAAATTAATGTCACTTCTTGGGAAAACTAGAGGGTGTTGTTCCAGTGGTCTCCAGAACTAAGATCATGTATTCATTTAGGTCACCTGTATAATGAATTTCACCAACTTGTTACAAACAAACTAAAAAATCACCTTGGAATAATAACTATTATTTTTAAGCACTTATAGGTATGTGAGCATGTAAGTGTGGGTACACATAGTCTATATATATGAGCTGTAATTATTTCAATACTTCCAAATTATATATACCTGCTTACCAAAAACTACATACATAAATATATACGTAGTTCCTTTTCAATTAATATATTAATACTTTTACAAACTGTGTCTAGTTATTCCATAGATTATCAAGAGGTTTTAACACAGAGATCTTTCATCTTATTCTGCACCCACATCATCCTCAAATTCTCCATGAATGGGATGTAGAGAAAACGAATCATAAAAGCAAGAAGAAAAAGAAGACAAACTTATCATTGGAGTAAAAAGGAGATTAGAATACTAATTTCTTAAATAAAGCATAAATTTTGTTATTTAAGAAATTATTGGCAAGACATTATATGTAGTATTTTTGATGCAGCTAAAGAACTAAGACTTTAAAGTTCTGACACATTATAGGAAAGAGTTTATGGTGCTGCAAATGCTATAATGCAACAAATTCTTTCTGATTTTCCTGAAGTCTCTTCTGCTTGCATTATAGACTTCACAGGGAAAGATTTGATTCTTTGAGATGTTTTTCCTGCAGTCTTCCAGGATGCAAGAATTTTATTTATATTATCAGTGATGATTTTCAGGAAACAGCAGCTTTGCTTCTTTTAAAAGAATAAACACGATTCAGAAAGACTAAATATTTTCCTAGCTACTTGAATATCCTTAAGTGAAACACAAGAATCACCTTGCTGAATCTGGACATCAGTATGCCAATGGGAACAATTAACATCAAAAGAAAGTAAAAGTTTCAATGAGTAGGCAATAAGCAGATGTTAGGGAAGCTTTTGCTTTTGGGGAAATTTTTAAATCTTAATATTTTGAGGCAGTCTTGTTCAATGAAGAATGAGAATTACAAAAGCGTAAACAATGTGTATCTTATTGTAATACTTGGTATTCTTGCTATTAATACACATACCTAATCTTTTGATAAATCCTGCTAAGTTCTTATGGTTAGTCATTTGTTATGTTAATGAGTGAAATATGTAATGCCTGAAAAAGTCTTTCCTTTTATTAGTTTTCATTTTGCCATTCATAGGCATATGTGAAAAGTTCCAGCATCTAGAAAAATTGTGCAATGCTTTCCTCCACATATGGATACAGTTAGATATAATCAAGAAACAGAATTAGATATATGATTAATATATGATTTGAATGTTTTCATGAACTACTGAAGGGCCAATTAAAGGGCAAACTCTTGTTCAAGAATGTGAGGTTCCTATGTACAAATCCAAATTATTTCTGTCATGCAAAACTGTAAAACTACTTCATGTGCTTTTATTATGAAGTTTTCCTACTGTTGCACTTTTTCCTCCTTCCCTTTACCTCAGGGATGACAAGCTTCAGTAACCTCACAGAAAGAAAGGGCTGCTTCATGAAATCTGAGGTGCAAATACTGATATTGCTGCATTTCCTGTAACTACCTGTTAAAGTTTCCTTCAAGCATCCTCTTACGTCTTTGGCATTAGGATACATAGTTTGAAATAACTGCCTGGGATCCATTTATGGATCCCAGAACTTCCTCTTAGTCTCTGCAAACTGAAATAATGGAAATCAAAGGGAGGATAACAAAAAGCGTTTACACAAATCTGTAGTTCATTATTAGCATTATTATTACAAAATGATACCCTGTTCCAGAACCACATCTTTTACAAATTTAATACAATAGGCCAACAGGAATATTTCTGCAAATTATTGAATTCTGTGACTGAATCACGATCACTTTAGCCAAAAAGACTTTTCCTGATTTTAAGACATAATCACTAATTGTCAAAAAAATAGCATACTTGGCAATATTTCTGGCTTTTATTTAAGTCAACAAAGCCAAAGATGTTTTGTAATTCCTCTGTAACATGCTCTGTAATATTTATGGAGCTTCTTAGCAAAATATATTTTCTGCTAGAGAAGATCACATTCTTCACTTATGCCAGTCCCCCACTTCCTACCGGTAAAGGACACAGCCTACCTAAGTGTCAAGATATCTACAAAATTGTCAATGAACTCCTTAGATTTTCTCATATCTTTTGGATTTTGTTTCTTTCTACAGTTTTAATAAAAATTCTACACCACCATCATGGGAGGCTATTTTCCTGTAATTTGGGAACCCGCCTTCTCTGTTATGCTGACTTAAGATTACCTTCAAGCTATAGCATTAAAATATTCAGGAAGGGCCTAGTGATTGGCTTTAATGGAATACAGTAAATAGAATGAAATTCAATTTATGTACTTTAGCAGAAGAAAAGATTTAGAGTTGAGACTAGCTGAATAATGAGTTCTAGAGACTTTTTCATTTCAATTAGCAATGCTTATTTCACCGAGACATCCCCTGATAATATGGCTGATGACAAGCCATGAAAGCTCTCCTGGAAAAGAAATGGAAAGAAGAGGAAGAGAGATTTATTTTTCAAATAAATCCTTTCTTCAGCTGCCTGATGATGTTTGGTGACATGGCATTCATTTTACACCAAGAACTGCTCATCCAAGGAGGAAAATTGAACAATTCATTCATTGCAGAAGATACGTATGAATCCAAGACAATTTGGCTAGGCATCTGCCCACTTCCCAATCTGATTTAACATCATGTGAATAATTATAGAAAATCTACTGTTACTTTGGTGTCATTTTACACACCAGAAGAATTTCTCAGTGTCAATTTTATACACCAGAAGAATTTCTCACTATCAAATCAACTGTGGTAAAGCTAGGCAGGAAACTGCAATCATATGTTCTAGACAAAAATTGCTGAAAGTACTCATGTATTTTATTACAGATTCTCATCAGTTAAAAAGGGGTAAGTGACCACCTTCTGCTTCAGATGCCCAAGGTATATTTTCCTCTGGCAAAACAAGAATCCATGAGCTGAGAAGCCAAGCAATATGGTTCCTTGTCTCATGCTTTACTAAAGCAGACAGTTCATTTTGAAAGCATTTCCAAGCATGCTCTGCCTGACATCAGTGGTAAATTGGTAGCTGGATACCATTCTCAAACGATAAAACCATTACAACAAACTGGAAAGCAAAACAGAAAGTGAATTTAATCTTGTTTCCTATCCATTTTATTCATTAAAGGCAGATAATGATCTTCAAATCTAGGTTCACTACTTTGACATTACCCCTTTGCAAGATTCATTTGAACACTGTAAAATTCAAACAGGTTTTACATGGACCTCTGTGTAAGCAATCCTGATCACATTTTTCAGTGGAGGCAAAAATTCACAGAGTACAGAGGAGGCAGATCCGGCCAATTGGGCCACAGAAACACATTATGTTCTCTAACAGTCAGTGTTAGCTCGTTGGCAAAAGTCAGAGAAAGCTCAAGCTGAAATTGATAAAAGACTGTAGCACCTCCTGGACTTTATGTGGAGTTGTTTTGGCAACTTAGAAGATAGCTTTATTCAGCTCCATCAAAGCAGAGAAGCAAAGTAGCAAGAAGTCACCTAATTTATAAAAATAAAGATAAAAACATAATACAAAAATATACAATTATTGAACCAATTGACGGAGAGAAGCAGAACTATCATCTTGATCCCAGGATGGAACACAGCCTGGGAAATGGTGGAGGTAGAACTGTGATGGAGAACTGCATATAACTTCACTGGACCACATCAGGGATAAGGACAGAGGCAGCTCCACAGAACGGCATGGTAGAAACCATGCAGCCAAAAAATCATACTTTGAAATAGTATAGAATCATAGAATAATTTGGGTTGAAGGGACCTTTAAAGGTCACCTAGTCCAACCCCCCTGCACTGAGCAGGGACATCTTCAACTAGATCAGGTTACTCAGAGCCCCGTCCAACCTGACCTTGAATGTTTCCAGGGATGGGGCATTTACCACCTCTCTGGGCAACCTGTTCCAGTGTTTCACCACTCTCATTGTAAAAAATTTCTTCCTTATATCTAGCCTAAATCTTTTAGTTTAAAACCATTCCCCCTTGTCCTGTAGCAACAGGCCCTGCTAAAAAGTTTGTCCCCATCTTTCTTATAAGCCCCCTTTAAGTACTGAAAGGCTGCAATAAGGTCTCCCTGAGACCTCCAGGCTGAATAACCCCAACTCTCTCAGCCTTTCTTCATAGGAGAGGCATTCCATCCCTCTGATCATTTTTGTGGCCCTCCTCTGGACCCGCTCCAAAGGTCCATGTCTTTCTTTTGCTGAGGGTTCCAGAGCTGGACGCAGTACTCCAGGTGGGGTCTCACCAGACCAGAGTAGAGGGGCAGAATCACCTTCCTCAACCTGCTGGCCACACTTCTTTTGATGCAGCCCAGGATACCGTTGGCCTTCTGGGCTATGAGCGCACATTGTTGGCTCATGTCCAGGTTTTCATCCACCAGTATCCCCAAGTCCTTCTCGGCAGGGCTGCTCTCAATCCCTTCATCCCCCAGCCTGTATTGATACCGGGGGTATAAAAGTTTAAAAAGTTGAAATTAGCTCTACATATAACACAATTTTTTAAACTTACCTCTAATGAGTGCATGGAACTCTCTGTTTTTCACATGTCCTCTCTCAAGATCAATTTTTAATGTCAGGAGGAGGGTAAAGAGGAATTTGTGGTTTTCATACAAGCCTCTAACAGAATATGAGTAAGTTTCAAAGGTAAGATACTCAATAATATTTGAGATTCTTTTCTGAGGTAAAGGAGACTTCTTAGATCTGAATCATGAAAACAAAGCACAAAGAAAGCATGTTAATAAGAGCAAATACATTGGAAAGACAAATATCTGAATAGTAGAAAAAACTGTGTCTTCCTACTTGGTCATGGATTGATCAAATAACTTCAAGAACTGAGCCAGTGAAGTTTGATACATATTATTGACCATGCTCATTTCTGTAATAAGAAAATAAAGAATGCTTCCACGTGTAGCAGCAGGTCGATATTCCTCTTGAGCAGTGTTAATCTTCACTTCAGTTTCTGCTGCCACAGACAACTTTTCAGCTACTTCAGCAGCGGTTTGCTTAGTTGTTTGCAGAACACCAATCAAGGATTCATCATCTACTAGTGAACCTAAAAAGTCAAATATTGGATGCTTAGGACATTTTTATAACAATTTTTTCACTTCATGTATGTAAAAACTGAAAGGCCAAATTAAGGAATTATTTATAACAAATGGAAATGATTTACTGAATTGCAGAAAGCTTCTAAAATGGAGACCAAACAGGATATGTAACACTAAAAATTATTTTTATATTCAACATGCTAAACAAATGCATTCAACCTATGTCAGTATGAATGTATCTATACAAACAGCTTTGCAGCATGTACTAGAGAAGTCAGCTTTCTTATGCACATAACATACATATTCATACACAGTACTTCAGTTATTTTAAAGTCTGTTGATTGGTACACTCAAAGTCAAAAAGCGTTAGGGTCCTAAAGGCAATGGTCACACAACAGTATTCAGGCATCTCAAGTACTTACTGATCGATTTGCTGGAAGTTACCACCTTCTTTTTCCACCAAAGAGACAGTAATTGATCATGTGCAGGCTCCTAATATACTGCAAAAGACTTTCAATACCATTTAAGCTAGCCCATTTTATTTTGCATTTTCAATGGGTTAAGGATTTGCCCATGATCAGATACCTTATCTCATTTGAGGAGCAGAAAGCTCTCAATAAATTGATTTGTTTCACAAAACTTGTTTAGGTGTCTAGGGTTGTATATAGCAGCATGCTATGGTACCAAATCGATTCCTCATCACCATACTTCAAATTTCTATCATTGGATGTTCTCTTATTGTATCTTGGACGGATATATTAATTTCTGTATGGAAAGTTTCTAATGTGAATCAGCTTAATCTGCTTAATCCTGGTTCTTTTACACTTTGATACAGAACCTCTGGTTGCACTTAGTTTGTACAGAAGATTGTCTTCCAGTTCTTTCATCTTCCTCTTATTAAACGTTACATCTTCCATGAGTTTAATTCGTTCTGCCTCTAGTTCCTATTATTAAAAAACAAGAAAATGGCATGACACTTTATGGACTGTAACTATGAGTCATACTTAAAATTCAGTTGTTTTTTCAAGTTCATGAAATGTGCATTTTACTTTTTCAGGTATCTAAAACATGTTTTTATAACATTCTTTTTTTTTTAAGAGGTGTTTATTCAGTATCTTACGAAGTGTCTTATCAATGCCAAATGCTTGTGCTTAATTGTTTGTGTCAGACTGACAGCCATACACAGAAGATCCTCTAGGTGTATTTTTGGTTTTTGGAAATTTCTATACTGAATCTGAATAAAATTTTAGAAAATGGCTGATGTCTTTTCTCCATTTGAACATCTCTTTTTCGCTACATACTAAAAACAGTTAAAAAAAAAGAAGCATCAGTATGGTTTGTGTGTACTACTAGTTTACCTGTTTTTCAGTAAGAATTACTCTTCTCAGTAACTGATTCTCAAGTCCTTTCATTGTAACAGTAAAATCAATAATCGATGTTTTTGCATTAATTTCAGGCGTGAAAGCAGGATTGGGTAGCTTTGTAGTAATGTACAGTCTAAATGAACTCATAACATCTACTTCCTTATCACCAACTTTCACCTGTTGAGTAAATTATAATAGTATTAAGCAGAGGAAAATGAGCTTTATTCGACTCAATAATATTGACCAGAAAAAAAATTACATTATTTGACATGCCAAAGAGAGGAATTTTATTTCACAATTCAAATTTGTTATGAAAATAACAACCGATGACCAAAGGTAGCAGTTAGGATACATTATAAAAGTAGCATTCCCCTCCAGGTAAATATAGGGATTACTTCCACTGTGGGTCCTAATTAATGGATTGAGAACCATTTGGTTTAGCTTTCATGCTTCTAATCACACCTCAAATGAAGATGGTAGAAACTACTGACCTTTGGAGAAATCATTGTTCTCCTGTGTTCAGGGGAAAAAAGAAATTATTTGATCCAACAATGGAACATAAATGATTGAAAATTAATTCTATATTTATTAAGACTAAGTGGATCTTAAAGAACCTTTCTAAAGGAACTATAAATTTATTCAGTTTTCCACAGAAATTTTTACGGAAGTTAAGATATTCCAAATCAGCAGTCTAACTTGAAAGCTGCATGTGCACAAGGAAATCTCATCATTGTGTATGACCCTCCAAGCCCACTTCAATTACCTGGCTTAAGAAGGAGTAGGACCAAACCACTCCCTTAAGCATATTGTTTGCTCTGACATTCAAAGTAAAACTACTTCACGCAAATAGCGATCATTTTGTTTTCATTATCATCAACAATCTGGTCTGTCATTTCTCTCATATCCCAGCCAGTTAATTAAGATGATTTGAGAAAAATACATACGGAAATGACTGCAAGTGCAGTCATTTTATTTCAGGACGTTTGAAGGGGGATTGTTTTTAAAATTTGGGAGTGATTTATTTATCTAATGAAGGTCAGAAAGACTCATGATTTTTTAAGGTTGGGAATATACTTAATATTATTAATAAAACTTCATGCTTTTTGGCTTGTTCCATCAGAAAACAGTTCTATTCCAGATTAAAGATTCTGCAGTTGCTACAATCAGCACTCCACACTAGGAAGAGAGAGATCTTTTCAATTCTATTAATTCTGTTAAAGGGTGTGTCATGGTTTAACCTGGCAGGCAGCCAAATACCACAGAGCCGCTCACTCACTCCCCTCCCCCCCCGCAGTGGGACGGGGAGAGAATCAGAAGGGTAGGAGTGAGAAAAACTCGTGGGTTGAGATAAAGACAGTTTAATAGAACAGAAAAGGGAAAATAATAATTACAATGATAGAATGTACAAAATGAGTGATACACAATGCAATTGCTCACCACCCACGCTGACCAATAACCAAGTAGCAATCGCTACTTCCTGGAACACGCCTACCATTCATATACTGAGCATGACGTCACATGGTATGGAATACCCCGTTGGCCAGCTGGGCTAGCTGTCCTGGCTGTGCTCCCTCCCAACGCTTGTTTTTTGGTTTGTTTTTGGTTTTGTTTTTTTAAGCTGAATGTCCTTGACCAGCAAGGTACTTAGCAACAACTGAAAACATCAGTGTGTTATCAACGTTCTTCTCATACTAAATCCAAAACACAGCCCTAGGAAGAAATTTAACCCTATCCCAGCTGAAACCAGGACAGGGTGTAAAATGAAATTGCTTGAAAATCAATAGAAAGTATTGTAAGCATTCAATAGGGTAAACATAACTAGTTCCAGTTTGGAATCTTCAGTAGTAACTTCAGTAGTTAAACTCAAATTTTAGACTCATGAACTTACTACTCAGCTGAGGCTCTGTGTCCTATATTTTATTAGTTCAGTTTGATTCTTCATACTGCCCTACTGAATACAAAGTTTACCTGATTCAGCAGAGGTTTGGAATAAAAGGGTAAAATATCATTCATCACAAAGCTAACTACTTATTCTAGGTCTTTTGTTTGATTACTAACCTTAAAAGAAGTTCCCGATTTAATGAAATTCTTTTCTAATATATTATCAAGGACTGGATCCAACTCTTCACCTATATCTTCAATGACGAGCGATCGTCCCAGTGAAAGACAATCTTCTAGGTGTGTACGGAAGTATTTATCATTCAAAGTTGTTACCTCAAAAAGTAAATCATAAATTGATATAAGGACAAAAACATTTCTTCAAAGTCTTACATGAAAACCACAGATCTAACTATGAAAATTTTTCATTGTTTTTGTTAGTTGCATTTTAAAGAAAGTAATAAACGTTGACCATGCAGCAATTTATGCAGAAATATTTCTTGTGTATACAATCAAAAGTACCATAAAAAGGTGAATTAAAAGATTGGCTGTAATGGAATCCGCAAAACTTCATTATGAAAGTAATAATGTATCAAGTAAAACTGGTACAGCTTATTGGGAACTGAATATGTTACATATATTTTTTAAATCAGAGATGCCTAAATTTTAATTTTCTATTCTACTTCCTGAGGACTAGATTTTCTAATTTTAGCTTTGAAGTGTTGAGAAATTCTTTCTGGAAACCTGAATTCAGTCTAACAGATGAATTGCTATTACAATATTATGAACCCAGATGATTGAAATATCATGAAATGGGAATCATAATATATGAAATCATTAAAAGACATGAATAAATAAATAAAACACTAATTTTGTATTGCTTCCTAGATTTTGACTTTCAGAAAGTTCCCATATTATTTCCCAGATTTTCTCTACAGATATGAAATAGGACCATTCTACTGGAAAACAGCTTTGCAGAAAAGGACCTTGGGGTCCTGGTGGACAAGAAGTTGAGCATGAGCCAGCAATCTACCTTTGCAGCAAAGGCCAACAGTGTTCTGGGCTACATTAGGAAAAACATTATCAGCAGATTGAGGAAGGCAATCCTTTCCCCTCTGCTCAGTACTGGAGACACGTATCTGGAGTCCTCTGTCCAGTTCTGGGCTCCCTAGTGTAAGAGAGACACTGAAGTGAGTCCAGCAAAGGACCACTAAGATTATTACAGGATTGGAGCACTTGACATATGAGGAAAGCTGAGAGAGCTGGGATTATTTAGCCTCAAGAAGGCTCACAAGGGTATTTACCTATGTATAAAAATACCTGGTGGGTGAGAATGAAGAACAGGGAGACAGACTCCTCTTAGCAGCACACAGTAACAGGACAAGATGCAATGGGCACAAATTGAAATACAGGTAATTCCATTTAAACGTAAGCAAAAAAAAAGAACTTTATTGTGAGGGTGGTTGAACACTAAAACAGGTTGCCCAGAGAGGTGGTGGTATTCAAAACCTGACTGGACACAGTCCTGGGCAACCTGCTTTAGCAGATCCTGCTCTGAGCAGAGAGGCTGGACTAGAATATCTTCAGAGATCCCTTCCAACCTCAGCTTTTCTGTGGTTCTGACGGTTTGCTTTACTAACGATAAAACTATAAGCAAGAACTTCACATTCACTTTGCTCCAAGACTTAAAATCTTCAAAATCTAGAGGTCCTAAAACCCCCCAAATTTATTGAGATTCAGGAGGACATGTGAGATTTTGCAACATTCAGATTAAGGGTTTTAAAAAGCAGGCTCCTTTTCCCACGCTATTTCATTTGTGAAAAATTCATTTGTGATGCAAACTACAGGTGACACGTGAACATCTTTGTATTATGTATTTCATGAGTAGACATTTAACCCTATTGGCTTAAGCTATAAAAGTGCTATTAAAATTGCAGTAACATTAGGACAGACAGATTTGTCTTGGGTTTGGTTTCAACTGGTTGTCCTCAATTTACTTTTGTAGCAGTAACTTCATGTATGAATTCCATCTCAGGTTCTAAATTCTGGACTGCATCAAGTTTAAGTACTTTGCCTACATTTCCAAAGCTGTAAGTTATCTTGCCTTTGTCTGTAATCTTACTAATAGTTGCCCAATTTACTCTCATGTAATAATTTCATATTATACTCTTTTGCTATACTTTTCACCACTTTGCCCTCTGTGTGGGGAACGTACTCACCAATTTTAAACACCACCTTCTTTTTCATACTTCTTGCTAGATTTCATACCAGTATTTACTTACTATACAATTTTTTCCAAGTCCTTGAATGGAATTTACAGCTCTTGTTAAGTTCCCTGCTGATGCATCTACATCATTGTCAGCCTCCATACAAGTTAAAGTTATGTCAAATACGTGTGTATGAGAGTTACGCTGACTCAAATGCAGACACACCCTAAAGCAATAATGTTTGAAGGAATATAATACAGCACATTATTCCTCTAAAACACTGTTCACCTGTAATTCATTATCCTGTTCTTTCTTTTTAATCCATGATTTTCCTTGAGTTTGTGGGTCTACCAAAAGGGGGTATCTAGTTGCCTTAGTGACAATGATACCATTCTGGATTGAGAGATCATCTCCAGGCAGTCCTTGAAGATTCCACTCACTAATCTGAAGAATTAAAAAAAAGTAGTTTGGAATAAAATCTCACTGGAATTATCCTTCAATTACAGTTGTTCTAAGAAATAATGGGGACATCATCAATCCAAAGGGGATGCATATCTGAACCTGCTGAAAAGTGATTAATGCAGATGGAAAAATATTTCCATGATTTTATTTTTATGGATGTTTTTAACTATATAGAATGATAAACAATGTATTTTAAAAGTGTAAGAAAGTCAAAAGGCAGCTTGACAGCCAAATTGATCCCAAACATTGGGATCAATTAAGAGAAAATCCGACTAGGAGAACTTTTGGGGCTTAATAATTACTGAAGGAAACTTGAAGATTCTGGCATCGTCCTCTGTGGTCTCTCATACATTCACATTAAATGAAAAGACTTTATGCATTCTTTTTCAAATGTTTTCTTTGTCACAAAATTTATTTTTGAAACTAGACCCAGATAATATTGACAGAACCAAAAGCTAACAACCAAACCCACTGTTTTAGCAGATATGTGATCTATACCTCTGGTGATGGGTTCTCAAAAGAAGATAACTTGAAAGTGCACTGTCTTACTGGCAACTGTCTAATTGTATAATATGTCACTTGTTTATAATATGTAACTTGTTTATTTATCTAAACATTGCTCAGTACTCAGATGTTTAGTGGAAATTGCCAAGAACATTTGGAAACCACAGAACTACACTGCACAGCAATATTGGGGATTATAGTTCTGTTCTAAGCAAGCATAATGCTGGCTAACAGTCACAGAATATGTTAATTGAAATTAAAATTAAACCCACCAAGCACCAAGAACTTACTGTTGGCGGATCTACCAACATAGAAATCAGGTTCAAGTTTTCAGAAAAGGGGATTTTATGGGCTCTCATCTCTGCTTCCCATAAATCTTTAAGCAAAAGCTTCCTGAAGTTTTGTTTAAAAGGTCCACAGTACGAAAGAAAACCCGTGCAGAGCAGTACATCTCCCACAAGTCTAGAAAAGGAACAAAACCATAATTAAAAGGTGATGTACAATTTCAATTTCTACCGATTTAGACAACCAGCTTTTGAAATACAAGAAGATTTCTGTTCTGAGGACAATTTAAGGAGAGAACGTTTGCTCCTCGAGAACAACAAATAGTTTCTTTGTGTTTCAAAAACATTTTTGTAGCAAAACTTAAGAGTAGTATCATATGAAAACATTATCTTCACCCCTACAAAGTAAAAAAATCCCTGATTACAACTATTCCTTCTCTCATAACTGAAGCAAGAAATCGGTTTATTTCTTAAAAATATTTATCAAAAGATACAAACTTAATTCTCTTGGAATGAGCAGACCTCACCAGAAATGCCCAATTTCCCAATAGGAAATTTATGGAAGCAGCACAGAAGCTGAGCCTAAACTTTTAGGCTCTCTACCTTTAGCAACTATTTTGACAGGTTTCCGGTTTTCTAGACAGCTAGGATCTCTGGCTCCTAGGCTGATCAACATTTTGTCATTTAGACAGCAACACAATGGGGACTCCCAAGTTTCCAAGTTTCTCAGAATAAGGCCTACTATCCCCCATGTATTTCAACACACAGACTATAGGACAAGGGTTACTGTCTGGTCTCTAGGCCTCCTTCTTTTATTCAAATATGCCATAGCTAATATCAAAAGGGATGCTTCTTTTCCTATCCAGTATTAGGCTAGGAATCCTTCCATTTTCCTTCTCAGTGTCAGCCTTAGATCATCCCTACCTCCCGCCTATTGTAAATATTGGAATGAGGTGCAGTGTTAGGGGGGCAGGAGAGGTAGCTGTAATACAGGCACATAACTGCACCAGAAATAATCCCTTTGGAAATAAATTCCAAAATCGGAGTTATTGTTCTGAATTGAAATACAAGCACTCAGCGCTCAAGTATTCCCTTATAGGAGAAAAATTCCAATTTCAGGATAGTTCACTTAATTGTGTAATTATATTAAGATTTCCAGGAGAAAAATGAAGTACAAATATTAAAGCTACTAAATTGCTTACTAGCTCTTCAGTTTTCACATGTATTTTGTTTTTTTTTTTTCCTCTGATGAATTTGATACCTGTTAATCTGAGATTTAAATTCTTTGCTTTGCTGGGTCCACCTAGCTTTCTCTCCACTCAGTCCATCTATAAGCGCAGAGGCTGCTTGCATTTTTCTTCTGCATGTTTCTGCATCATTCAGTAAGTCCTAAAATTGAAAAAATGTCCTACTTAATTTAATAACAGAATGCAAAGATCTAAAGAGTTATTTTATATATTTTTTATCCTCTTATATTTATTATGACTATTTTATTTATTTAAAACTCATAGTTGAGAACTCTAAGTGCATCTATTGACTAATATGTTCTCATTCACAGAAAGAAGGAAATATGAGAGAACATAGTTTTAAATTTCTTATTTTTGTATGTGAACCTCATTCATGTCATTCAAGGTAGCAGGCCCTAAATGCATGTTTGTATCAATTCCTGATTACATAACAGTATTGTATGCAAGCATTTTTCATAATACTAAAATACTTTTATCTCACCATTTTCTCCTTCATTGCTGCATCAAACTTTGCCTGCACTTTATCCAGTTCAGCTTGCTTTTCATCTAATGCCTCCTGAGCCTTTGCTAATTCTGCATTAGCTATTTTCAGGTGGCCTTCCTGTTTTGCCAAGTTAGCCTGCAAAGAGAAAAAATATTAAAACAATAATCATACAAGATTTGAATATACTTTGATGAATTATTTTAAGCCTGCTTAGTTGGTAATCACGAGACAATAATACATCAAAATAACTTTAATATTAATATTTATATAAATATTAAAAGTATTTAATTTGAAAACTATGTCACATATATACTGCAGATACGATTTTTTTGTTAAATAACAATGTAGTACTCAAGGTTCCTACTATATATTGTCAAATTTATTTCTTTTAAAAAAAAATTACATTTAAAGAAGCTGGTTAAGGAAGTAAGCTTTCTGATCTGTACATATTGATTAGCCTAGAGGAACAATCTTCTTGCTTGATTATATGCTTTATTATTTCTTTTTTATTTGTACATTCTGTAGCGATCAACAATCACAACAACAGGAGATTGGTCCTTTATCAGTTAACAATATAGCTTTTACCCACTAGAAAACCACAGTCCTAAAACAGTGAATCTTTCCATTGCTCCTAAATTGATATTTATGCTGACCACAGGAAATTCATTAAATAATTTTTTTGAATCATCCACCTGCGTTACTGTTGCTTTTGTAAATAACATTTCTACCAGTGACAAAAAATGTTGAAAAGATTTGGAGTCACCATTCAGATGCTTTCCCCTTTTACTTTTTTCTTTTCTTTTTTTTTTTCTTTTTTTGTTCTTTTTGTAAACTGTGCTACATGTAGGGATTAAATACTTGTTTTAGAATCCAAAAAGCAACAATCATTGCATTTGAGTTTCTATATGGTCTTTACCTCTGATAAAATCTTTTATTCGAATGTTCACAAACATCAGAAAGAACACCCACACTAAAGTAGAAATGACTCTTAAAAATGTTTTACTCTGTTTGGTTGCCACTATTGCAACATTAACTCCTTTATTGATGTGAGCTCTGAATCTCTTCAGAATGCCAATATTTGGGCAAGATATCAGTCCTCCACTCCCTCTACATTATCGTGTGAGAGCAAAGAATGTAAAATAGCTGTAAACCTCTGTTTGCAGGACTCTTTAGAGAAAGAGTCAAGATCCTCTCCTGGTACAACTTTTTGAAAACAATTATTAAGTAATTATAACATAATAAAAACATAGACTGAAAACAGCTTTCACTGTACACAGTAAACCAGAGCACATAAATTTAATCTAGGCTAATTTTTTGTTCTGTGTTCTGTCTAGGACCAAGAAGAGGACATGGGGTTTTTCTGCTCTTATCATCCTTAGCCACTAAAGTCTACATGCAATTATGTCTGAATAAGGTTATCTAAATATATTTTTTAAATCCTACTACTATTAAGTAAATTAAACTAAATTACATGGAAAGCAAACACAAAGCAAGAGATGATGTATTACCTTAAGAGGTAAGACTTCTTTGTTAATACCATAAAATATTGCCATGGCTTGTGTCCAAGAGAGGAGTCCTGCCACATTACCACACACCTTTTTACCATACTCCAGAGTATAGTCTTCCATGTTAAAATAAGGCTGGAGTAATTCTACTGTCTCTTCATTGATTGAATCCTTAGGAAACTGCTGTAGACTCTGCAAGAATGGACCACTCATAAGCTGCAAAAAAACCAACAGGATATTTATAAGCTATTTACACATTTTACATTCAAAAGCTTATTCATAGGTGAGTATGTTAAAAAAAAAGTTCCTAAAATTCTTCTGTAAAAAAAGGTAATTCATATAGTTAATATTATAAGTTCTGCTATTCAGTTGTAACACCTCCCACATGCCTTCAATTATTTTATAGTTTTAAGCAGTTACACTCCAGTAACTAGGCTTGAAAGTTATTGATGTACTTTCCATCTTCCATATTCCTGCGTTGCCATTTAAAAGGCATTTAAGAAGCAGTATTTCATAAAAAAAAATTGAACCAAGATAAAGCCACAGAGATACATTTGTAACTTATCTAAAGAATGCCAAAAAAACCTGCTTATGCATTTGTGAAATGTGATCTAAATTCTTCTGGAAAGGGAAATCATTGGTTTAACTTTTTTCTAACACACGTTTAACATATTAAAGGCAACTCATGAAATAACTGCTTATCCCATTTCTTTATGTCAGTGGAAAATAAAAAGTTTTGATGATTTCTTAATTCCTGGAAAAGCTTAAATAAAAAGCAAGAGCTCTATTCATATCCAAAACATGTAATTTTTCTTCATTTGCATGACAAAAAGATTGAGGTAATAATATTGGCAAATTAATACACTAATAGAGGTGGAACAGAATTTAAAGAATGGCAAGAGAAGGCACGGAAATAAAAGAGTATCCTGAGAGAAGATCAAAGTCCAGAAAGAAGAGATGGCTGTCTGACCAAGGAATTTGGGCCAGGAATATTGAAATGCAGAATGGGAAAACCTACTATCTCTTAGTTAGTCAAATAATCTTTCAAACAATCAAGGAGCCTGGGGAGGATCAGAAAAGACTGTTTAAATGTGAACCTACAAGTTCCCAAAGAAAAAGAAGGGGTTTCCAGAACGCCCTTATCTCATGTATGGCTAACATGATTGGTATGATTTATTTATTTGCCCTCAGGTCATATGCCAGGAATAGAACAAGGAAAATTTAAAGCTCCTACTGCAAAAGTCTCTAAGCAATTCACCTGCTACTTGCTACCAAATAAACTCTATTTATATACTATGCCCATCTTAAAACCATATGTTTGTGTTCTTACAAAATTCTGTCCAGTTTTGAGTAAACAGCATCATAAATTCTCTGATATGCAAATTGCTATTTCTGATGTTTAAGAAACACTGTTTGAAAATTCTACTTACTTTTAATGATTCTCCCCACGATGGCTTGCAGCAAGGCTTTTCTGGATCCATGGTAACTGGATCTACTTGCTTTTGGAATAGTAGCAGACAACAGTCCATGATCCTCATAATTAGATGAGGAGGTTTTGCAAGTTTTCTAACAGTAGCGATATCCACTGGTTTGATGGTCTATTTGAAGAAAAATGTAACAGAATCCTGCATCAATACCATTATTCTATTTTCCCATTCAACATCTTGATTTTAATGTTTGTTTGTCATACTTTTCTCTGAGGCAAGTTTGTACTAAGTACATACAAAAAAAGTGAGTAACTGGACTTATTTTAATAAATTTCATAGCTTCGTGAAACTTTAATAATTTTAATGAATGTATATTAGACAGGAATATTTTCCCAATGCTAAAGACATCACTCAAAAAATCAAATTTAAATACATGGAACAGCAGTATTAATTTAACTTGTCAGTCTAAGTGACTGAAGAAAAACATATGGTAAAATTGCACAGGATTTAATTAAAAGCAGTTTCCTTGGTAAAATAGTATTTTTGATTTTTAAGGGTTAAGTGTCATCATTTATTCTGAGATGGATTTGGTTATTTTAGTTGCTTTTTAAGTTATTATAGGTATGAGATACTGCTTTTTACGTCATTTTCTAACAGCATCACTGATACTTTGCTTAGTTCAATAACTAATACAAAAATAATAAATGATTGCAAACTTCAAAAATAACATATTAATTTGTGTCTACAAAATACATGCGTGCCACTACCTGTCTAGAAGAAGTAGTTACAGACACATTATAGAAACCACAGGATAATGTATGAGTCCACATATTTTATAAGTGAATTTTGTGACCATTTTTGGAAGTTTCATTTATCTCATTATCTAAATGTCAGTGTAAGAGCAAACAATGTTCCTTTTCTGGCTTTTTCCACTCAATATTTTCTGTCACATAAATTCTGGTGACTGGAACAGAAGACCTTAAAAATACAATACATCATTGATTTCTGATTCCAGAGTTCTTTACTTTTTAATTTTTCAGAGCAGAATAATGAAATTATGTAGTGCAGCAATGCCTCCAAATTTCTTAACCCTGATTCGGATCGCCCTGAATCCCCCTTGTGTCCTCTTTCTCTCCAAATTAAATGTTTTTTGGTGAAGGAAGAGACAGCCTTTTATTCCTCTTAAAAGAAAGTTACAATTAGTTAAGTATGAAGAAAAAACATTCTTTTAGCACAAGAAATATTCTCTTGAATTCAGAATAACAGATATTCTAAAGGCATCTGTAACTTTTTGAAAGATTTACACCTTCATAATGATCAAGTATTAGGGCGGAAGCAGAACAAATACTATAAAATAATCTCTTTGTGTTTAAAGCAAAATGTGAGCTCCATAAATATTCATCAGAGACATGACCACCAACTGTGAAGAGCTGGTCACAGCAGTCAAAACCAAGTGACAACTGCATGTTGGTGGTTCTAGCCTTTCTTTCACGGGTGACTCAAATAGTACTAAACTAATCAAAATGTAAGAATTTTATTCACATTCAGTGCAGCTTCTGCTTCTTCTAATGCTGGTTTAGCTGCCTCCAGTTTACTCTCTGCTTTCATTTTCTCTAAATCAATTTCATCTACTATTTTTTGTGCTTTATCTTTCACACCTTGGACTTCATTTTTTACTTTAGCTGCAGCTTCAGCACTTTCTGTGACTTCTGCTAGTACCTGGAATTGATAATAAACACATAAAATCAAAATGGTGGAACAAGTGATTAAGTTATCAGACACAAGAGAAAACACATATGTAAAGGCTGTTATACAGAAAAATATAAAGCTAACCCTAACTATATATGGCATTATATAATTATGGAATAAAAATTAATACAATTTACAGAATCCCCCAAAGAAATATCGTATCAGTCTCTCAGCACGAGTTGGATTGTAAAAAATGAATTATTTTTATAATGGATAGAAGACCTTTCAGTGGCTTTTAAAGCCAATTTTTTACCCTATGATGGATTTTTATCCTATTTGAACCTATACTTTTTCAATACAATAATACAAATACAAGTATTTGCTTTTTTGACTATAATTCTGCAGATAAAAATAAAAATAGTATAGCTAATTAAACTAATGGAAGATGGCAAACCACCTGCACCAATGGTCAGCTTCTCTTCTACTCCTTTAGTCTAAAAAGACTCACTTTTAATTAGTCTATTCAAAGAACAGCCCCATGTGAAGTCAGAGAATGAAGTCATCCATTTGTGCCTGGTTCTTCAGTACATATATTTTTAATTCTCTTGTGCCTGTGTGGCATACAGTTAGTGTCAGAATGTTTTTTGACCAGTATCAGCTATAGGGTCAAGGCTAGCACTCTGTATGCATTTACAAGAACATAAATAATGCTCTCAAATACCTGTGAGAAAAAAATGATCGATAAAATCCCCAAATCCCTCAATTTTTTTTGTGTGAAATCCAGTTCTGGTTTCTACAGGGCTCAGTACTTAGGGAA